ACTCAACCAAAATTCTTAAAGTTTATATGGAATTGAAGCTCTCAACAAGGAGAACAAGTCCTTACCTATTTAGGAACCTAAAACCTTCGAGAAATGGACAGAAAATAGCTCGACACAACCAGCCAAAACTGCAACTCCGTGATCTCGAGGATTCTGACGTTCAAACCAGTCCAAAACTAGCCTAGGATCCTTATAGAGTTGATTAAGACCCTATTTAAGCCTCAAAATCTCATGAAATGTCCATAATCACATTAGAGTAATAGAGTACCTCGCCGAAGCTCTGGGTTCTCAGAGTTTCGCTCATGAGATCACTGGAAAGGTGATAGTGGTGTTCAAATACTTGATCCGTGAAGTTTTTGGTGGATTTGTGAATGGTGTTCGTACGGTGTACAGACGAATGAGAGAGTTCGAGAAGATGAAGGAGATGAGATGAGGTTGTGTGTGTGTGTGCGTCTGATTGGTCACCAAGGAGAGAAATGAGAGATTTTTAGTGTGTGTGTGTGATTGGTCACCAAGGAGAGAAATGAGATATTTTTAGTGTGTGTGTGTGTGTGTGTGCGCGCGCGCGCACCTCCGGATTGGGCAAGAAGAGATGGTGGGTTTTAGGGTCCAAAAAGAAATAAAGCTAACCCAAACAATTAATTGGGTCCAAGATTGTAGGAAGTAATATGATTGGTGGGTTAGGTATAAATCCAAACTTATTCATTTACACCTATTCGTTTGTAACATTTTCGTTACGAATCCGATTCAACCCTAATTCGCGTCAATGCGCTCGTGGCGTCGTGTATGATTTAATTATGACAGCGAGAAAAATAATTTAAAACTATCTATGTACATCCACGTCACTAAGCCTCGAGGGCATTTCCGTCATTTTACACACTCGGGGATTAAAATACATACAAATTCGGGACGGGTTGTCACAAAACTACTAGTAACCAATTAAGAAGAAATCAGATAAAAAAGAAAAGGTTTTAAGAAATAAATTTAGAAAAGCACTAAGATTCAGCCATCCCCTGAACAATCCTATGTAGATTTACTAATTACTTACGAATTACCCATGCAACTTTGAAGGTTAGGTTTTCCTAATGTATATTCTACTCGTGGTATTCAAGCTAGAATGTATATCAAACATGCAATCTGTCTGTGGTATTCAGATCAAATATAAACATGCATGACTCATTACGCTTTGTTAAAACCCCTTGAAAAAACCATGCAACCCCTAAGACATGGTATTTGCTCTAGGTGAAATTACAACTATCAATCACAAGAAGCAATACTCAATTCCCTGGTGGTATTCCGACCGAATTGCATCCAATTACTTATCTAATCATCCTAATGGTCATGAATCATTAAGACACAAATACAGTTTAAAGTACAGTGATTGATAATTCAAAGTATGCATAATATCATAAGCAATTAAATTAACTACATATTCATGCTAAGGCTCAAGGCATCACCCGAACAAACGGAAATTAGTTACCAACAACCATAAAACAAAAGGAATTTTATTGAAATAGAAAAATGATATAAAACACCTTGAAATACAAATCGTCAAAGCCTAGCTAAGTTCTCCAAATTGATGCCTTCCCCTCCTAATAGCTAAATAGCCTTATTTGTACTACGACAAAATAAAATCCTACTTAGAAAAGGTCTTCTAAAAACTAGGAAACATAATAGAATAAGATGACTAGGAAATAAAAGATTTCCTATTTGAACTGAAATTCGGACTTCTTAGAAAATCAAACTTTTGACTAATTAAATCAACTCCGATTTGGTCCCAAAAGGTTTTTTTTAAAAGTTTGAGACGTCATTTACAAATCTTCAGATTGAATCTTCCTTAAAATATGCCATATTAACCTTCAAAATACCCAAAACGTCCAGAAATGTCAATCTAGAAAAACTGCGCGCTGGGCATTCTTATCATGGCCACGGTCAAATGGCTTGGTAAAAAAATCTAGAATTTTGACATAATCATCTTGAAAGACTCACGAACATCCTTCAGTTGGAATTGCTCCAAAATTTGTCTGTTTGATCACTTTATGCTCAAGAGGAATTCAAATGTTCTACATTAAAAATATAAACCAAAGTATCAAAACTTCACCAAAATAACCAAAAAATTGTAACTAAGATTAGGGTAAAATATATAGTACAATATGGACTCATCAATGCACAACGAGACTTATAATATCCAAAGATAGATGATGAAGAGGTTTTAGAACCCAAGGTTCCATACTTAAGTGCAATTGGTGCTTTGTTGTACTTATCTCAGTGTACAAGACCTAACATTTCCTACATTATGAATCACTTAGCACGACACAATCATGTGCCAACACGCAGACATTGAAAGGTGTTAAAGAAATTCTATGTTATCTTAATGGTACTGTTGACCTGGGCTTGTTCCATCCCTACTCAACTTCGAGTGCAACCATCCCACACCACCCCCCCCCCCACCCCAGTTCTCGAGTTCCATTTGTTGGTTATGTTGATGATGGGTACTTATTCAATCTGCACACGGCAAGATCCCAAATGGGTGTTGTTGGTGGAACCACAATTTCTTGGAGGTCTGCTAAGCATGCTTTAGTTACTACGTCTTCGAATTATGTCAAGGATACTTGCCCTCTATAAGGCTGCTCGTGAGTGTACATAGTTGAGAGTCGTTGTCGAGCATATTCAAAGCACTTGTCGATTTTCTTCCGTCATTGATGTCCAACAATGATCTTTGAGGATAATTTCGCATGTAGACCATATTCATAAATGATACATCTTAGATTTCTTTGATTTCTTGAACACATATTAACCGTTAAATTTTGTAATTTATGTTATAAGTTGATGTACTCTAGAATTTTCGCTTGTAAAAAATTAAGACGAGTTACCACTAGACCAATAGTTGACAACATTTGGATTTAATAAATATTGATAGACTCGGGGCATGAGTTCTTTGAGTTTTGATCGTTATATTATCGCTTTGTTACCAATAATTTGGTTCAGTTCTACAATTGAAATTTGAATTTTGATCGTTAGTATATGCATTGAAACATAAATTTTATAATAGAGGTGGATAGGATGAAATTAGATTTTTTTTTTTCTCATTAGCATTTGATGTCTACAAACGCTAATTACTCATAGGCTTATCAGCTAGAGAGGTTATACTTTAGTAAATTACATTGTAAACCATTTAATACTAGTAGGTTTCATAATATAAGTAAATTCCACTTTTTTTTTTAAGATGTGGTACAATATGTCCTAAATTGTAGTCTCAATTGTTTTGGTCCTGTTATCTTTCCCATGTTCTCTTTTTTCTTGCAAAACAATGTAATATTTAATGGTGTCATAATCTTAGTCTCCAAGTAACAATGATTTATATAAAATTCATTTATTGTCATGTGGCGTTCTAGTTCAGTTATATGTGCTTATAAATGTTTAAAAAAACAGCTTAAAATGTAGAGTAATTCTTGAATTTGTACCACGTAACTCATCCGCATAAAACTTAACACATAAAATGAGAATTCCTTAATTCAAGTTCACCCAAAAAGTGTCTGTAGACTTTTAATTTTAAATATCAATTGAAAGAAATAATGTTTATATATATTTTGACACAAACGAGTGATGTAGCACGCATACGACACCCAAGAGATTCTCAGAAAATGTCATCTACAAACAACTTATCAAGAAAGAAAGTAAAATATAAAGAACATCGGCAAGGAGGGGAAAAGGATTGATGTCAAAGCTATGAGTGTGATGCAAAATCTTTATACTATCGTGGGTTCTCTTTCCGCTCGGATGCCCATGGGGACTACTTTTTCTTTGACACAGTGGAGACCCCAAGGACACCATCATTTGACACCTATCCAACCATGTCAGCATCCATGATCTATGGTCTTACAATGGTAAAAGTGAAACAAAATTCCACAATGTGAAGGAATTGGATCCGCTCCAGACCTTAGTTTCTGGAGCATGTGCATCAACCAATTTGGGCCACACAAATTGAATCTAACGGCCTCCTTTAATTTATTTTCCTGACCCACCACACACAATGAACGACTTTGATTTCTTTTGCACACAAATTAGCAACCCAAATCGATTGATGGACATGCTCCGGACACTAAAATTGGGAGCATATCCAATTCCTAATGTGAAAACTCAAAAAGGAATCTTCAAAGGCTCTTTCTGTTTCATTTTTCTCCACACAAAAAATACCAAATTCAAAAACCCTCCATTCTTTTCAATTTCTCTGGAGCACGATCATAAAGGTAGATTCGATTCGATAAGAATTAAGTTCTCTATTTTTTTTTGTTAACTTTAATTTTGGTTGTTAGATTCAATTTCTCATCGTTAATTCCTAGACAAAATTCTTGCTTTTTTTTTTTTGTATAGAAAATAATGTGTTATTTGTTAAACTGAAAGGGTCCAAATACAAATATTAGTGCAAAGGCTGCTAGCACTTCTCTTTCTCTAATGGGTGCCTTAGTTTTCTTACCATAGTACAAAAAATATATAATTTTCTTCAACATCTCGTCTCTGTTGGGTTACAACTTACATTGGCTAGCTTGTGATCGATTATTTGAATGAATAATATATAAAGGTTGATTGAAGTCCAAGAGCATCAAGCACAAAAAATGGTCATCAGTTAACTGTCCATATTACATTTACACTGATTAGGGTTCAAAGGCTCGCATGAGGTGTGGTTTGCTAAACGTTTGGAAGTCCAAATCACAACTCTCTCAGCATGCGGTTTTGAAACGGCTGGTTGTCATTTACTTCGATAGGTTATGCTGAACAAGTATACGTACTACCAGAAGCCTTTAAGCCTAAGGCACTTACTAAAACCAGCTTTCTCACTTCTTCCTGACTGATATCTTCTCTGACAAGTAATCTTCTTACTTTAAGTGATGTGGCTGCCATGTCAGCTTATGAGTATGAGTGCTATTTATCAGTGTAAGCAAATGATGGTACAAATAAAGTAGCATTTTTATTAGATGTGTTGTTATTGTTGATTGAGAGTCAGTTAAGTTGCTTAAAGGCTAAGAATGATATATAGCAGTAGCTATAAATAGAACAGTTTACTCCATTAAGTCATAAACTCAATACAGAACATTTTACTCCATCTTCGAATTGGTGCTGAGTTTTATGGAGAGCGTAACTTGCCTTTTGGGGTATTAGAGTCTCTTGAGTTTGTGGAAATGCAGCATTGGAAGGAAAGGCTTCGTTTCCTACAGGGTCACGAAAGTGGTGTTTTCCCTTACCTGAAATCATTCTTAGTAAAAAAAGGTTCTCAACTGGAGGGTAAGCTGCCAGAGAACCTCAATTCTTTAGCTAAGCTTGAAATTATCTCGGTTTCTCTCTAGATTTTTCACCATTATTTTCACTTGCTATAATTCAGAAACGGAAGGACCAAGGCAAATGGAATCGAGTTGCACAGATTTAAACGGTGAAGGCTCCCTCGCCATGGTTCAGGCAGAACTAGACGCAGTACCTCTCAAATGCGCACCCATTGTGTCGTCCTACAACGACAAGATCCGCCCTCTTCTGGATGCGGTAGACAAGTTACGCAGCTTGATGGTGATGGATGAAGGCATTCAGCTGCCAACGATTGTGGTGGTCGGAGACCAGTCATCGGGGAAGTCCAGCGTGCTCGAATCCTTGGCCGGCATCAGCCTCCCTCGGGGCCAAGGCATCTGCAGGAGAGTGCCTCTTATTATGAGGCTGGAACACCACTCGAGTCCTCAGCCTGAACTTTCCTTGGAGTACAATGGCAGAGTTGATCGTACTGATGAAGACAATATCGCCAAAGATATTGTGAAAGCTACTAATTCTATTGCGGGAGGAGGTAAGGGAATTTCGAACACGCCACTTAATTTGTTGGTGAAGAAGAATGGGGTTCCGGATCTGACTATGGTTGATCTTCCGGGAATCACAAGGGTTCCGGTCCATGGCCAACCTGAAAATATTTATGATCAGATCAAAGATATGATCATGGAGTATATTAAGCCGGAAGAAAGTATTATTCTGAATGTATTGTCTGCTACGGTGGATTTTACTACGTGTGAGTCAATTCGGATGTCACAAAGTGTAGATAAAACTGGTGAGAGGACGCTCGCTGTGGTTACGAAAGTGGACAAGGCACCGGAAGGACTACTTGAGAAGGTCACCGGAGATGATGTAAACATTGGTCTTGGTTATGTCTGTGTAAGGAACAGGATTGGTGACGAAACTTATGAGGAGGCAGCGGCGATGGCTCATGAACTATTTCAAACCCATCCCCTGCTTTCGAAGATTGACAAGTCCATTGTCGGTATTCCAGTTTTAGCACAGAAGCTGGTCCAAATTCAAGCAAACAGCATAGCAAGAAATATACCCGATATAGTGAAGAAGATCAATGACAGGCTGAACTTCTGCATTATGGAACTGAATAAAATGCCAAAGAGTCTTTCATCTGTTGCCGAGGCCATGACGGCCTTTATGCAAATCATTGGCTTGGCTAAGGAATCGCTTAGGAAGATTCTTTTGAGAGGAGAATTTGACGAGTACGCAGAAGACAGCATGCACTGCACTGCTAGATTGGTCAACCTGTACTCTGATGAACTTCACAGATGTGCTGAAACTGATGCAAAGAGCAACTTCTTGATGAAGGAGATCAAGATCTTGGAGAAGGCCAAAGGTATTTCACTTCCAAATTTTCTTCCACGCAATGCTTTCCTCAGTATCTTGCAGGGAAAAGTGGATGAAATTTCGAGTATTCCGATAGCATTTGTGGAAAAAGTGTGGAGCTACATTGAAGAGGTGGTTATTTCTGTGTTGATGCATTATACGGAGAACTATCATCAGCTGCAGCTGTCAGCAAGGCGTGCCGGCCATAATCTAATGGCCAAGATGAAGGAAAGGTCAATCAAGTGGATGCTGGAGCTTGTAGAGATGGAAAAGCTGACAGATTATACATGTGATGGTGATTATGTTTCCGAATGGAACAAGTTGATGGCTAATCAAAATGAATTCATTCATGGAGTCTTAGCTGATGAGAAGAAACCTTCTATCATAGATATAGAAGGCATCGGGGAAGTGGAAGTCGGTTGTCTGAGGATGTACCCGCTTGTGTTAGGTCAAGCTTATGACCTTAAAATGAGAATGATTGCCTATTGGAAGGTTGTTTTGAGGAGGCTTGTGGACTCCATGGCATTGCACTTGCAGCTGTCTGTCTTTAAGCTTGTGAACAAAGAGTTGGAAGCTGAGATTGTGAATGAGTTGATGGGACCATACGGCGGGGGAATCGAGAGGATGCTGGAGGAGTCGCCGGCAGTGGCAGTAAAGCGTGAGAAGCTTAACAAAAGCATAAAAAAGCTGAGGGATTCTAAGGAGGTGGTGGCCAAGATTATGGACAGCATTACCACTTATGGTGATTAACTATCTTGCCAATTAGCTTTGAGGGTACTACAAAAGTGGTCTAAAATAAAAGTATGCAGTCTGTTGTCTAATGTGGGTGTTTGTTTGTTTCTCAACTTTAGTTTTTATGTTCTTTTGTTTCCCTTGTGTTCTTGTTATGTGGTAGTCGTAGGATTGTGGTAATCCATGTCAAGTTTAATGTTAACTTCGACTTTTTGCCTCATGTTTTCTGCTTTTATTACCATTCATTTAATTTAACAGTGAGTTTTCATGACTAATCTGACAAGCATATAAACTTATTTAGGTAAAGAATGCGACACTCATTGTAAAAATCCTAACTAATAAGAAAACTATCTTCCCTAAATCTTCATTTATTTGTACAGCAGTTGTTTTTGTCTAGTGTTGCTTTGTTTCTTGTTTGGTCCTAGCATCAAATTGAAAAAGGAAACAAAGGCAGACAACGTTGTTGATGAAATGGTCAAGTGGGGGAGAAGAATGTGGATTGAATAAAAGCAATTATGTCACATCCTCCTACACTCCTACTTGTACGAGGATTGTAATTAAAATTCAGGCTCAGTAGCGTCATGGATTTTTTTTAGTTTTTTACTCAATTATTTTTATTTATGACTATTAGATTGAATAAATTATACATAATTAGTGGTCAGAATCAAACATGAATGTGTAAAAAGTTAAAAAAACAAGTGTGTGAATGTTACTTTCCAAAAATATTTGTAAAGTTGGTCATGTATTAAACACATTGTGTATACATTTAATAAACGCAAAACTGAGCGCAGTGACGTTTAAGTTTATATAGTCAACCCCACTTATTAGAATAAGACTTTGTTGTTGTTGTTATTATCCATTCAATAAGTTCATGATTGTAGCGTAATAAACTGGTGATGCGATATAACCTCTATTCTCAGAGGAACGAGTGACTTAACAGAGACTAATCCAAAAATATCTAAAGAATGTGATCTACAAACAAATAATGTAGATATGTAAAGCACTGATTGCAGTATTGAATTGTGCTGGACAGGGGTGGGAAATTTTGCTATAAATCAATTTACCGACCGAACCATACCGGTCAGTTCATAATGCTATAGTATAATTTTTGCATTTTTTTCATAATCTGTTGGCATTATTGTGACATCTCACATCGCCCAGGGAAGTGATCCTTAAATGTATATTCTCATCCCTACCTAGCACGAGGCCTTTTGGGAGCTCACTGGCTTTGAGTTCCGTAGGAACTCCAAAGTTAAGCGAGAAGGGGGCTAGAGCACTCCCATGATGGGTGACCCACTGGTAAGTTGCTCGTGAGTTCCCAGAAACAAAACCGTAAGGGTGTGGCCGAGACCTAAAGCGGACATTATCGTGCTACGATGGTAGAGCGGGCCCGGAAAGTGGTCCGCCCCGGCCCGGGATGTGACAATTATACCAAACCGACAATTAATGGTATGGCTTTGGTATTGGATTTTGTATATTGGCGGAATGCCATACCTACCAATATATATATATATATTCTATTTAGATGTTTTAGGTATTTTTTACATGCTTGACATGTGAAGAACTGGAAAATTGTAAGTATTGATATATTTTTCTAATTCTAATTATAGCACTTCAATCCAATGTTTATTGATATTTTTAATTTATTATTCAATATTATTTCTTATTCTAGCTAATCATATTTTTTTTATGTAACATTTGAACTGAAATAGTTAATGGTTCTACATTTCAAGCAGGAACATCAATTCTAAGTGCCTCAAAGAATTGATTCATGAAAGATTTCACATGCATTGATTGCTGCTACTTCAATGAATATGCATTATCAAAACAAGAAGTTATTTGTTTTGGGATTATAATAAGGAGATCTTATAACCATAACCATACTTTTGAGTTTTAAGTTTTTTGTTTATGCATTAGTTGCTACAATTGAATTTATAAAATTATATTAGTTAGACTTTTGAGTTTGTGAAACTTATAACTATTTGGATTATGTTTGCTGACATTGTTGTTGGCTTGAGTTTTGTTTTGATTTTCATTTTAATTTGTTAGGTCATGAATATGTTGGCTTATCATCAATTGAAAAATTGCAGCAACTTCTTTTTTTCTTTTTGGGTTTGTTGTTTACGGGTCAATGCATGGTCTTCAATTGTTGTTTTTGTAGCTTATTTGCAAACCATTGGTTGCCATTTGTCAACCGAACTAACCAATAATTTCGGTTGAACTGATTTTTAGCAACTGCAAAAAGACGGTTGGCTAGCGGTAACTAATTTTCGGTAATTATATATATACGGCCGGCAAGTGGCACAAGAAATTGGCACGGTTTGCCAACCAAACCCAGCCCTAGTGCTGGAATCTATTCTCAGCTTTTTGTATTTTTGCTATCGCTTAAACCTTTTGTGACAAATATATGCCACAACTTATAAAAAATAAAAATAAAAGGTCAAATATTGAAGAAAGATAGAAAAATATGAATGAGAATCCTCTTTGTGAAGAGTTCAAGAATTTTCTAATTATATTCATTTATCGTAAATCGTGCGACCAAACTCACTGACAGCCAACGTCCACCAAATTCCCACGAGGAGCATTTTTACTCACCATAAACTATGGTGTATCATTTGACACGTGTCCTTTTAACTAACTATGATTAACTTTAATATTAAATGTTCCTTTTCTAATTTTGAAAAAAAATTAACTATGATTAAGTGAAAGGACACATGTCAAATGATAAGATATATGGTGAGCATACACCATAGTTCATAATGATGAGCAAAAATGCATCCAATTCCCACGTGTAGTTTTTTCCACTTGAATGCCGTGTGAACTTTTTTTTCATGGACAGTAATGACCCCCAACTGCACCATCATTTGACACGTGTCCTCAATCTTGTTAGCATCCATGATCTATGGCCTTACATTGGCTAAAGTGACAATATTCGTACAATGTGGAAACACAGAAGGGAAGCTCTGTGTCTTCCACTTCTCTCAATAAGAAAAGCGGCAAGCAACCTTAATCCTTAAGCTTTACCGAACTCCAAAACCCTCCATCCATTTCAATTTCTACCCTAATTTTTGGATTTTCATGATCTTCTCCAATTGCTCTGGAGCACGATCATAAAGGTAGATTCAATTTCAAATCAATTTCTGTACTTTTTTTATATTTTAAATTGGATTGAATTTCTCTAATGGGTACCTTAGTTTTCTTACCGAAGTACAAAAATTAGGTCATTTTCTTGAACATCTCGTTTCTGTTAGTGGGATGCGCTTTCTTGGTTGTACATTCCCATGCTTCAGACTTTTTGTTTCTAAGCACTTCTGGGGTTTCCAGATTTTCTGATTCACTAGATTGCAAGGGTTTTCTTAGTTTAGATGACTACAAAGCAAAGTGCTTTTACCTTAAATCCAACAACTCATGTGTCTCCCAAGGCTATATAAACCACCTTAACATTTTCTACTGCAATTTTGGAACTTTTTCTCAATTGGGTTATTGCTGTATGTTTCTTTGGCTTCTGGTTTTGTTCTATGTGTTGGGGAACACAGCTTCTGAGTACTTATGTTCTTCACTTGATAGTTTATCTAGGTTGTTAAAATTGTCCACCACATTTGCTGGGGTAACTCTGCTTTCTCTTGGCAATGGAGCCCCTAATGTAGATTCGGCTGTTTTGATTGATTTACGAAGAATTTCTTTTAGCATGGTCTAATATTATTCATTTAAAATGTGTAAGTCATGCGTAGCACGTTGTGATTCAAAGAGCGCGTGCATGAAAGCTAGCATATATATATATATATATATATATATATATATAGGAATCTCTTCCCAAGAGGGATCCCCATTTTTCAAAAAAAAAAGAGGATCCCCTCTTAACCGTTAGAGTTGGCTTTAATAAAATTTTGTGATTAAGATTTTGTGGCCTGTGATTTCATCTCAACCACAGAATTTCATTCAAGTCAAATCTAACGGTGAAGAAGGTATTCCCATTTTTTTTGAAAAATTAGAATCCCTCTTGAGAAGGGGCCTCTATATATATATATATATGTATGTATATATGTTCTCCTTTGTATCCCTTTTATCTTACTTTTGTACGGCAGTTGTGTATATATATATATATATATGTATGTATATATGTTCTCCTTTGTATCCCTTTTATCTTACTTTTGTACGGCAGTTGTTTTTAGTCTAACATGGGCCTAGCATCAAATTGAAAAATGAAACAAAAGCATTTAGACAACATTGTTGATGAAATGGTCAAGTGGGGGAGAATGTGGATTGAAAAATTGTATTATCCGTCTAATAAATTTGGCGTAAAACTGAGTCCAGTGACATTTTAAATTTAGCTAACTCCACTTATTGAAATGAGACTTTATTGTTGTTATCTATTCAATAAATTTATGATTGTAGCATGATAAACTAGTGATGCAAGAAAATTTCTTTTTAAGATAAACGAGTGACTTGACAAAGACTAATGAACCCAAAAATTTCTCAAAGAATGTGATCTACAAACAAATAATGAAGAAAGTAAGAAAAATGTAAAGCGCATTGCCCAAGGAGGGACAGACCGATTTTGAAGCTTTGATTGTGACGCAAGTCTTTTTCTTTGCTTTCACAGCTCAGATGCTAAACTCACCCTGATAGCCGACGTCCACCAAATTCCCACACGTGTAGTTGTTTCCGCTTGAATACCGTGGTAACTGATATTACTCGAGAAATTTTCCCTTGGACGGTTGTGGGCCCCAACGGCACCATCTTTCGACACGTGTCCTCAACTTGTCAGCATCATGATCTATGGCCTTACATTGCATGAAGTGACAGTATTCCTACAATGTGGAAACTCAGAAGGAAAGCTTTAAATGCTCTGTCTCTTCCACTTCTCTCCCCAAGAAAAGCAGCAACCTTAGAGCAACTCCAGTGTAGGAGTCCTCCCCCCAGGCAATTCACTATTTAATCCACCTAGTGAACAGTAACTGCTCTTAATAAATAGTGCATTCCCCTGGCAATTGCCTTTTGCATCTCCACCCCTGCACTGAATAGCCCTGGCAATTGGCAATAAAATATTAGTATTTTTTTATTTATAAAATAATACATAATAATTTTATTTGTAATTTCGGATAAGATTTTTAATCGTTCTCGTTGCGCCACGTGTCATTATCCGAAAAGCCAATAGCAATAAAATTTTTGTATTTATAAAATAATTCAAAATAATTATATTTGTTATTTCGGATAAGA